AAAGTAATAATAATTAAAAAAAGACCAATAATGAGAAACCAATACTTCCGTTCTTCACCATTTTGTGACACTGAAACTAGAAGTACATTCCTGTAGGAGGAAAAAAATGGCTCTTCATCTATAGAAGAAGATTTCATCTCCCTCTGTCTACAACAAGCTTTCTGAAAACATTCAGGCACAACACAAGAAGGACCTCAGAGGTACAGATGAGATTTCTTCATGATATAAAGAGCAGTTTGTGAATCACTTACTAATTAACCTCAACTCTTACTTATCAGTAAAGCCTTCATACACTTTTATGGGTCTGTGAAACTTGAACTATAGTGCTGCTCTGCATTGAACAAAGCAACCTTTGGCTATCTAGCTAAGTGACAAAAAAAAAAAATCAGTTCAAGCTATTCAAGCTGTAAATAAATTATGCTTATGTGAGAGCAGGATCTGGAATTTCAGAGAACCACGACTGTTTCCATAGCCTTTGGGTTGCCCTTTTCAAAGAATACAGAGAATTACAAGAAAAACTCAGAAAGAAAAGCAAACAAATACGTCTGAAAACCAAGAGCCTGGAGCATTGCTGGTGCATTCAATCATTTCTCTAGAATAAGTGCCTAACTGCACAGCTACATACAGTGCTTCTGGCTGGAAGTGTTTTGAGAGAGCCACCAAAAGTACAAGGTTCCGCCTCATTTAGTGAATGGCCCTGGTTTGCGAAACAGCTTGAAAGACTCCAATCTGAACCTCATTTAAAATGTGTCAATCAGCTAAAGTCAACTTTTCCATTTTCTAATTAATACACTTGAAGTTTGTTATAAAAGTGATATGAGTGTTCTACAATTGCAGTAACATGTCCACACCAACTTAATCCTTTTGGAGCTGCAGAAGTTCAAAGTGCATGTATTATTTCTGATAGACTATAACGTGAAAAAGCCCATTGAGCTCTGCTTTGGATACTCTGTATTTTGTTCACTGTTTCTCAAAACACTAGACTATTCATTTTGTTTCATAAAGTAGTCTAACATTAAATCTCTGAAAGAAACACTGCTCATTACCTTTTCGAAATCCATATTTTAATACTAGACCCCATTTTCACCTGTGTTTGTAAGCTTTTGCATTTCTGGTTTGAGCACACAACTTCAAGAGCCTGTTACCCCAGGCTACCCCAGGCTATGGGGTAACAGCCTATAACTGAAATGAACTTGAAGAGAAACTGTGGGAGAGTTCCTGCAGGCAGCACAGGGGACCGATATTCAGTGTTCCAAGTTCTTCAATTTCCCAGTCAGCAATCAGTCATATTTTAAGATGTTGCAGTTGCAACATTTACCTTTTATATTTATTTCTCTTGCATTTCTTTTGCTCATAATTATGGACTATAAATCACAAAATACTTTGTTTTTTCACTCCAAGCTCAAAAGTAGTTGGAATGACAAATAAAGCACAGAGCAGTTCATATGAAAATTTAAATTCAGTTTAGTTTATGTTGAGCAAACTCAAAAAAATAATCAGATACACTTCATATTTGTGAGCACATTGGAACACATACTGAATCACAGTGCATTTATCATTAAGATATAAATTACATCTTTTGGCAATAAATTTATAAATTTTATTTAACTAAATCAAAATTTGATTTATATTGCTTTCTAATATTGTCGATTACTCTATTTTCATATTTGCAACAAAGAATTAAAGTCTAATTTCTGGCGAGAGACTAATTTTATATCAAAATACATGAAAATCAGTATTTCAGGAAAGAACACATTGCCTCTTGAAGGTATGTTACAAACTAGTGTTTATGAGAAGTGGAAAACAAAAAACAATTAAGCAAAACATTTTTGTCTTGGGGATAAATAATGGATGAATCTTTTTTTCTTTGCATAAACAGCAGTATTTGCAGTTTGTTGCTGACAACTAACAGTCTCAAAGCTTCTTTGTTACCTATCACTGTAAAGAAGCACGTACACTGTGGAGCTATTTAAGACAGACAAAATATAATTGCACAAACTTTGTCATGACAATGCAAAAATGAATAAGTCACATTTTATGATTAAGTAATCTCCCAAAGATTGTAACAGCCAAGAAAAGCTTAGAGGTTTTAACTTGTGAATTAGTTAAGGTTATTTTTTCCTCTTTTCCAAGGACATATGATACATTCATGAAAGTCACACAGGCATGAAGTTCATAATTGATTTAAAAAGCCAAAAACCGCTGCTGAAGATCTTTGGTCTATTTTAAAGCAAAAAAACCCCCCACCAACCCACAAACAAAAACCACAAAAGCCAAAACCAAACAAACCCCAAAAAACACAAACCAGATTTCACATGTAATGGAAAAAGTCCCTAACTTCTACAGACAGTTAATTCTGCCTCCTGATGAGGCAGAGTACAGAGAAGACACTGGCAAAAGGATGCAAATGGTCTAACCCAGGTGAGTTAGCTACTGTCTTCCTTTGCTTTTGTGCTGGGGTTTAACCATCTGGCTGCAGATCACCTCAGGAACCAGCAAGAGGTTTTATATCTGTAGTACATATGGGATTTAGGAACAAGTGGATGACATCAAGTCACTATGACTTCAGGTAGGAAGAGTTCTGGGAATAGCACAGTACAGACACTTAGACTGTTTTACCAGAACAAGAAAGAGTGACAAATCCCTGGAGGCACATCTGTAGGCTCTCTATTGTTTCCGACTCTGGGCAAGACACAAAACAAAAGGCTCGGTGATTTAAGCCTTTGGACTGGAAGATTTCCCAGGAAGCAAAGATGTGTTTTCACAGTGATTGAGGCTGGAAAAAACCCCACCCCAAAACACAAGAAAGATGCCTTTCAGGGACAAGAGGACCTCAACGAGTCACTAATTCAAGATCTGGTGCAGGGCTACCTACCGGATAGGTAGATAAGTGAACCTGACTGATTTTTTTTAGTGACTTAATTTTTCTTGACTAGATCGATATTGCTGGCAATTCCTGTTCAAAATCATAAAAAGGAGAATTGTTCTTGCATCCCAGTCCGGTTAGGTTTAACACCATTGGTTAGAGTGGTTTGTAGCTGGTAGAAAGGGAAAATGTTTCAGATTAGAAATAAAGGAACAGCACATTTCGCCGATAACAACCTCATGCATATAGTTTGGGCGGTCTGAAGCTGCATTTGCAACATGTCTGTCTAAAATAGGATGTCTCCTGATTTTTGTTCAGTGATGCCTTACTGAAAGATAACATTGATCATTGGCTCTGCTAAGTATGCAGCTTGCCAGAGGCATTGACAGCAGCTGGAGTCATGGGACTTAGCTGACTGGGTATTGGTTGTTTGCCACAGCATTAGCCAGTTAAGATTTTAATTTTATGGTCAGCGCTTTTTTTTTCCCTCCACAAAGCCAGGATGTTATGTTGCTCTATTTTCTGCTTTTTAGAAATAAATAAATAGATTCAATGAGGGAATGTTTTGTAGCTCAGGAGGCAGGATTGCCAAAAGTGGCATTATTTCAGCACCTTTTCACAGGCAGATTGGAAACAAAAGCTGTAAGTTGGTAGCTGCAGGTCAGTCAGATATGTTCTGGGAGTCCCAATAGGTGACAAGACTGAGAATCTTGATCACATACTTGTGTATGTAAGAGCTCAAGCTGGATACCTGCCAAGCAGACTCCTGTCCTCGTCAAAAGCAAGTTCTGTCTTTTTCATTTTCCTGTGTCATTTTTAAAGAAAGGAAAACAGGAAGGACTTCTCCCCAGCAACAGTAGTGGCACAGCGACAAATGAACAGGTAGCAAAAGTGAAGTCAGGCAGTCAACTTTCTTACAACTAGAGTAGTTCCTGAAGCGTAACAACAGGCAGACTACAGCCAATCTGCCCAGAGGCAAAGTGGTGCTGTCTTTTACACACGTAACAGAGCCCAGTACTGCTGAAAGAATAACACATGAACTTCTAATACCTGCCACTCTCAAGAGAATGGTTGAACCACTACTACAAGGAGCACACTGAGAAGCAGAAGCCCAAAAGCTGTGAGACCTCAGTTTCTGTCGGCTGTGCATGGACACAGCCATAAATCCCATGCTGTTAGAACAACCATTTGGTGTTTAAAATTAGATAAAATATTTCCTGACACCATCTGTGGCCAAGCAGGAGACACCTACGAAACCGCATGGACACACCACTTCACAACAGTCTTGTTAGGGAAGACAAAGAGAAGACTGCACCAGAGCAGGTGAGTGCCTCCGAAAAAAGGTGCTTATGTTGTCCCAACCTGCAAATCTTTGATGAATAGAATCCTTTCATAAGGATTTTCATATCCTTTCATACACAAATTTTTGTGTTTGTCTTTAAAAGCTGTGTCCAGAAGAAACACCTCAAATTAAGCTTTTTCCTGAGAACAAAGTACCTCTAAGACCTCTTTAGTATTAAATAGTATTGAACAATATCTAACACATGAAAAGATAAGTATACATAAATAATGTTTGAAAAATCTTCATTAAGAATTTGAGATGTCTATGCTGCTTCTTACTCAGGTTTTTCATTGATGTCACTTTGAGAAACACTTAAAGTCTACAACAATGATGAGCATGTGGGAGAACAGATTGTAAAGTAATCAGTGTGAAGGATCTGCTTCTGTGGACAAAACCTGAAAATCTGATATGAAAGATCTGATATGCAAGATGACATAAATATTTGAAGCTTTCAGAGCACTGATATAGACACAATAATTATCAAATAAGCATTGACATAAACGTTTAAGTATTACATTCTGCATTTAACTATGCATACTTGAATATCTAAGAGTTCTACTTCAGCAAGAGAGATGACAGAATGATTTCCTCCTTCATTCCAAGCAGCAACTGATCAAGTTCCTCCCTTTTGCTAAACATCGCAGATATATTATCTGATGCTGAACAGCTCTTTTGAAGTGTACCATACATGTCAGTTTATATTCATTTCTGCAATTCTAATATGGTTAGAATTGCTACAAACAGTTATTCTTAAGTGCCACAATACTTGGAGAAACATGACAAAAATCTTACCGCTATGTTTCCATTGCACCTTTGGGACTGGCAAACACCTCTTATTCTGTTGGGAATCAGCACATCGTCCCAGCAAGATGGACCCTTCAAAATAAAACCAAAGCGTATAAAAGCTTTAATCTACTTAATAAGTAAACATATAAAAGTTGCTTTTGTTGCCTCTTTTCCTACCCCCATATCTTTTAGACTTTAGCTAGACAGTTTTATCATGTTTATGCTGAAAAAGTCCAGGCAGATTATATGACAACATTCATCAATAAAACTCAGTCACTGACAGGACATACAGCCCCTCCATCCTGAGGTCAGTGTTGCGAACAGGAGTCAAATAGTAGGTACATTTTCTCAGCTTAAGGCAGGGGCTGACTTAATTACAATTAAAAAGCTACAAAGAGTCATCTTCTGGTTCAACACTGTTTACACCTTGGCCTGCAGCTAACTAAGGGGAAAAAGGGAAAAAACACAGTTGGAAATAGAATACACAGTTAGAAAGACTGAAGTGTGACACAAAGACTAGGTTAAGTAGCTTCTCTCTATTTTGTTTATTAAGTATTAAATGGCTCTAACTTTACTGAAATCTCTTTCTGCTTTCATGGGCTGCTAACGTGAATTTTGATAATGTTTACCGTAAATGAATTAGACTTCTTGTTACCAGATAAAGCCTTTACCTAACCATACTACAACGTAACAAAAGTGTGAAGTGAGGATTGTTAGTAGATTCCTGGACATTTACATTAGCTGTAAGATTTGTCATTGTTAATAAAAAAATAAAACCTAGAAAGAAAATTAATAGGAAATCCTTAGCAAACTTTGCTATGACTTTTTGAATAGAAACAGTTCATTTATGAGTGTACTACAAAACACAGTAAATTTAAAGATTACAAATCAGCATTATTAATATTTCACAACTGCAAAATAGTGTCGTTAACAGGATGGTCTATTAAAGAAGAGTATTTAGATATATGGCATATATAGGAACACTTATAAAAATTATTTCCCAGAACATAAAAATTGAAGTGACATTAGCGCAAGTCTTCTCTTTTAATATTAATCTCACACCAATTAGTATTTAATTCGTAGACAATAAAAATTAATCTGAGAAATAGATAGGAAGCTTACATATATCCATATACATAGCCGAAATAAACTAAGAAGGTATCGATAATTAAAATATTTGCTACTTGAATTACTCAGTGTTTGGGATAGTGTCACTACTCGGGAATAACAGGAAAACTTTACCCAGAAATTATCTCAATCAAGAGGTTTAGCTGCATTAGTGAAATCAGTGCCTACTTAAATCATAGTTGGATTACAAAGTAATCCAGTACCACATCTAGATCCACCTCCTTTCTACTTCTGTATGAGGCATTCTTGAGACTTTGCAGGAAGAACAGCAGAGCCTCCTTCAGGTATTGCGTAAAGAACCACCTCCTTTTAATTGTTTTCAACTCAGTAGTTGAAAGTTTCAGCTGATGCTCCCCCATGCCACCAAAGACTGTGCAGATCTCTAGCATACCTCTCACAGTAGTTTACTTTCCAGGAAGAAAGGTAATCTACCCTCATATAGATGCTGTTCTTTACTTTTGATCAGCTTTTTACTCTCTTGGTAGCTCTTGCAATTCTACTCTATCTTTTAGAATACGAGAAACATCACACAGCATACGAGGCTTACTGACGTGCTGGACTAGTGAATGGGAAGATGGTGTCTCTGAATTTGTTCTTTATTTCTTTCCTAAATAATTATTAAAATGTGATTTACTTTGCTGATGGTTACTAAGCACCAAGGCAGCATTTTGGTGGAATTATCTATCATAGCTCCCAGACCTCATTCCTGAATGTAACAGTTATCTCAAAAATCCATCACGTATATATAAAATTTGGATTTATTGTCCCAGTGCACATCACTTCAATATTAACATACATTGAATTCCATCTGCCACTTCACCAGCAGATGAAGAAGTGTGCATCCTAAGGTCCACAGAGGGGCTTCTAGCAGGTACTTCCCAGGTTCCTCCATACTGAACACACCTGTTTGTTCCCAAGGATGAACCAGCTGTATACCTCATCCTCTCCAAGTGCTTCTTTTATATAGCAATCATCTAGTGGACTTGTACATGTTTTGCTCCTGTTATACTTTAAAAGGACTCAGTAACAGTTTTTCTGCTGTTTGCAAGTTATAAACTTGTTTTTTGCTTGCCTAACTGCATTTTTATATTTAAGGTGCCAGAATTATGTGTTTGTTTTTGTTTACTGGGGTTTTTTTGTTTGTTTTAATTTCTCATTACTCATTTTACTCAGTTTTCTGAAAGATGCATCCTTGATTCCAATAACCTTCCTTCCTTTTTTTTTCACCCCCACAATTTAGTCATGCTAGCTTCCATTCAGTCCTCCTTAAATTTCTGTGCACATAGTCTTTGATTCCAGTGTAATTTCTACATCTTCTCCAAAGATTTAACTCTTTTTAGCTGCCCCTTCTAGCTTCTCAGCAAGCACCCTTACTTTTATGTAGCTTTTCTTTTTTAAAATTAAGCACAATAATTGTGTCTTTCTCAGATTTTGGGAAGTTGCTGAATGTAAATATATTACAGTCATTGTTAAAGCAGGTCTTTGTCACTAACATTACAAACCAGGTCCTCTGCATTACCTTCTCTTACAGGTCCTTTGATCAACTTTCCCTAACACAACCTGACAGCATCTACAAGTTTACTCTTGGGATCATGGTTTGACATGATACTTACCTAATTTACATGAAAGCAATTTAAATATCCCGTTATAATTGTTTTTCCTTACACTTACAAGCTTTTGATTTTCTCCAGCATGGTAGACTCGCTATCATCATCTGGTCAAGCGGCTGTAAAGGGGAGTCATATTTTTTCCCTTTCAGGCCTAGAATTTCACTCCATAACGATATTGTGTAACTCACTGACTTGTTAAAGACAAGGAAATGTTAACCTGTTAGTCTTACTTAACACCTCTTCCTTCATATTCAAATTTGTTAGCATACTTTTATTATAAAGTTTGTTTTTCCAATTTAGAGGAATTCAGTAGGTTTGTATATCTTTAGATAATCCTTACATAATTTACACTTGGGAAGAGGATACCAGAAAGAAAGGGTGAGAAATAAGAAGTAAGTGTGCTTTATAAGATTTGGGGGTTAAAAAAACTAAAAAAACCCAAACACACCCAACAAAACCCACCCAAACCACAAGCACAATCACTTTTTCCTGATCCTGATAACAACATCAACAGTAAATCTTCCTGTTACTTCATCCCTGCATGATTAATGAGACTCTCAGAGTTAATGATGCTATGCTAGCATACACACAAAAATAGAGTCACAAGATTGCTACACAATAAGATAATTTAAAACAGTCTCGTAGAAGCAGTTCCACAAGTATATGTTATCAACTCTGGTACTAATTATCTCGATTTCATGAGAAGAAAATATTTCAAGCTAAACGTTTTAGAGGAATTAATCCTTTAACTTCACTGAAGTTATTTCAGGAGAAAACTTCCCAAGTATTCAGTAGTTTTCAGGTCTAGGTCCATAATCACAAAAATGTAAGAAGGCACAGTAATTCTTAAGCGAGAAAGAAAACATGCATAGGACCATTTATAAGGTTGAGTGAGATTCTAGGAAAGTGCATATTTAAAATGGATTTGAAACAGTGTCACTATATTGATTATGCCACAGTCTTATAGTAGTTGAGAAACGAGCAGCTGATTTGCAAAAGTATAATCAAGAAAACATCCTTAAAGAAACGAGAACAGAAAGGAATTGATGCAATATCGAGTACTGTTAGTTAGAATTCAACTACTACAACTAGCACTGGATCAGGTCCAAATATGCTTAATATGGCAATATCTTTTTATTCATTAATAGTAACAACAATTGTATGAATTTTGTGGTCACTTTTTAAGGTCTCATCTACAAGGGAAAGCGAATGTGCTATATGGCATGGTGTGAACTTACAGTGCTCTCACTCTCGGCCATAATTTCCTCACGACATTTCTCATGCACACAAGAGTACTTTTTGCATGAAGCAGCTCTCTAAAATAAGAATGTCATCTTCCACTTATGGCACGCTAAAAGCATATACACAGGGAACTAGTAGCACAGTCCCACACTATCAGCAACTACTCAGCTGTTCACTCACACTGTGGCTAACAACTTCCTATTTTTTTCCTTCATAAAACCCCCACCCAATCCAACACCTCTTTACATTAACTCTTATGATGGGCATATAAAACCCATAAAAAAGTCAGATGCATTTAGCTCTTCTGATAACATTAACCAGACCCAGCTTTAAGTCAACAGTGTTTTCTCTTTGTTCTAGCAAGAGTTAGATCAAGTTCTTAAGGGACAAATTAATCCAGCAGGAAAAGCCCAAGATGGACTGGCAGAATATCTTGAGTTTGTGCCTGTCTGGCAGTGAGGAGTGGAGGGAAAAACAGTAACAAAAAATAAACCCCAACCAAACAAAACACCCCTAAAAAATTCTATGCCTCACTTTCCAAATTTGTACAAAGGGGAAAATCTCCTTTCCCACATCTGTGCTTGGCATTCTTCAGGGTCATATTTTATTATTAATGATAACATAATACACTTCTAAAAGATTTAGTGTGCTTGAGAATTTTAGTTTTTCACCTTCAAAAAAAAGGCAAAAGAGACATTTGTCCTTGAAAAACACTGTGTATTCAAAATGTTAATGTTTCTTCAGTGACAGCACTACTAAATGTCATTTCTATAATTGCGTCAAAATAAAATTAGGAATTCTAGTGAGATAAACACTTTGAAATGCAATTTTTGTATCATTCTTTCTTGAGTTCAAGAAAAGCCTATCAAACTACAGGCCAGCCAATCACTTGTGGTGTTGTAACACTGAAGGCTGTAGTGTTTGTAATTATTAGTTTGCATTAATCAAGAACACACTGTGAGAAGAACAAAGCCTTCTGATTGCGAGATTAAAGCAACTGCCCCTCTTGTACACAGCCAAATGGCTCAGAAATCTATGCATTAAAACGGATGTATCAGAGAAGACTTTTCCGGTGTAAAAATGGGAAAAAAATAAAGAAATAGAAAGAAC